CATTTTCGTAAACAGCATTCGAAACTCTATCTATTTATCTGGGTGTGAATTCAAAGTTCCAAGATAAGAAGACTACCCCTCCCTGGTAAGGCTACGAGTATTGTCCACGGGTCCAGCAGGGTCTCTCCCGCAGCCGCTGTAGGGTGGATCGTGAGCTCTTGAAGGTCGGGCGTTGCTCATTCATTCTGTATTGATGCAGTGTTGACACTAGAGGATACCTATATAAAGAGGTAATGCTGCCGACAGGGTTTACTCACTGAAGATGACCCTTTTCACAGTGCTTACACTTTATGTATCTGTTGTCGGTGCACAGTATATGGGCTACGGTATGTACGGAATGACAGGTAAGTAGTTCTACAATAATTTCGAGTTTGATGTCTTTAAACGATGAAAGCCACCTTTCCAGGGTATCCATACAACATGATGATGGGCCAGTATGGAATGAATCCATTTGGCGGAGGAATGACAGGAATGTATGGCGGTGGATATCCCTTTGGTATGATGGGATACGGTAAGTTGAGCTTTGCTTATAACGAAAGCCCGGTCACAAAGTGATAAATACCTATTTGTAATTTTCGATTCCCATTCCTTGTACAGATGATCCCACAGGCGTTAATCCGTATGCCATGGGAATGGGATATGGAGGATATGGAATGTATGGGATGAATGGTCTGGCCGGTATGGCAGGCATGAATGGAGTGAACGGATTGAACGGAATGAACACCATGAATGGAATGAATGGAATGAGTAACACGAATGGAGCTGGAACGATCAACAACGGTAACACGAGGTCGAGGACTTCAGGTGCGTGCGGTGGGAATTTTCTCAAATTATTTCATTTTCTGCTAAAAATTTTGTTCGATGAATGATTATAGACTTTGAAGAAAAATTTTCACGCGAGTTTGACTCAATTTTTAATTGTACTTGAAAAACTGAAAAAGTAGTGAAAATTTTAGTGAAGATATTTTTTTGGCAAGTTAATATTTTCAAGGTATCGGCTCTTTACTGGGAGTGATAAGAACTTTTCAAAGCTCTGCAGTTAGAGGGTTACTTTTTCAAGGCTTCAGGGCTCCTTATTGCTCCTACCATTCCCACTGAAGAACAGTCCAAAGAGAGAGAAGTTACAAGCGGTCACCACTTCTCCCTCCCCGCCTGAATTGGACGAGTTTTCGAGGCACAAGGGACCTGCGTCTAGACTAACAGATGCGATGTGACTTAACATATAAGGAATTATGTATAAGCTTAGCAATGTAGGAGAAGGAGTGCGGTAGAGTACGTTAGATCACAAAAAGAGAACAAGCAAAACTCGTCCAGCCCCACCTGTTGTCTTTACAATCTTCCTACGAGCATCCGCAAATAGCGCTTGATCTGCTTTCCAGCGCCCCATATAGTACATATCGACGATAATAAAGCAAATCTCCTCACACTTCGGACGTGTCAACAAATTACCTTACCACCCACTTGTAAGTGGCCCATTGTGAAAAAGCTATTTTTACCTGTGATAGTAGCGAGTTCCACTTGAGAACGCCCGGCCGGCCCTCTAGGGTCACGCTTGCCGCTCGCATTCTGCCTCCCTTGAGCATATAGACAGTAGTCGCAGGAAAAACCCTAGAACAAACTTGTTATTGTATTCTTCGAGGTTTTATATGAAATGCAAACATATTGGCTGTTTTCCATGTAAAAAGTGTCAATACTGATCAATTTTTTTCGATGTCGTCGTTTCTATGACGTTTGCCTTCTTTTAAGGAGAGGAAACTCTGCCTTCACAGCCCCACATAGCAGACGATTTCATCTTAACTACTGTTTAGGTTCAAGAACACGATACGGCAACAATCAGGGATGTGGTGGAGGTGGTGGATGTAATACAGGTGGTTGGGTCGCCTCAGCTAAAAAACTGAAGAAAACTTGAATGCGACAATTCTTCTGATAGTACTGGTACACGACAGAAGAAAAATTTGTTGACATAGTGCTTGTTACTTGTAAAATATGCTGTATTCTAGGGTAATAAAATTGCACTCATTCATAAAAACTCATTGCCGATCCATTCAGGTACATTGCACTACTACGGTATTGGATGAGCAAATGCTCAACAAATTTGACCATCAGTTTGTAGTGAATTCAAAAGATAGGCAACCATACAGCCCTGCGTTCTTCCGGTTCGATCCCCTTCCCTGATCAATCTTCTGGGGCTAGTTGCTCGCACCGTACCCGACTAAGGGGACAAATTGCTTATCAAATGTGATGTCTCGGATGTCACATGAACCCCATCCCAAAAAGTACATGTATTCGTTAATTCTAGGGAATTGAGTATTACAAGTAGTCATCGAATTCTAGAAGAATTTCTGTTATAGGTATTTTTATTTTAGTTATAGGTATCTTTTGAAATATGACACGACTTATCTTTTGACCCAAGACACACTGCCTACTACAAGATCAGTATAGCATACGGCAAAAGACTAAAGCGAGTAAATAGATAAATAAGGTTCAATAAATGAAATATAGATACCTGAAGTCAGAAAACAAGGCTATATGCAATTGGATAGAGTGAAAAACATTTTTCAGACAAAAAATCCTATCGCCCATAAAAAAAATATGTTCAAGACCACTATTGGTCCGTGAAATCGACTTTCTTAACTTCTTTGCGCTCTAGCCTTTAGTGGTAGAGACGCAGATCCGATTCTAAGGGTCCGCTACTACTACATTTCCTACAAAAATAAATAAATTTAAAAATACCCGCAGTAATGTAAGGACAGCTTCGACCAACTTCTAATGCACTTGAACACGGCGATCGTCAACATCGCTGGAGAGCCGATGCGGATTGCGCCACGCACTCAAATCAGTTTTTAATTGACACAGTTTTTATCCTTCGAGACCAAAACATTACAGGAGGGGTCCTAAAGCACATGGTCCCCCTCCCCCCCCCCCCCCCCCCCCCCCTCGATGAAACTTTGATCGAAAGGCGTCCTCTTCCTTATAAGTGACTTCCCACTAGTTTTACCATGGAAAATCCTGCTACAACATTTTCGAACATATACAAACGTGTAAAAAAGTTGTATGAACATGTCCAAGTTGAAAGAAACGTGGACTTCCCCATTCCGACCACTTTCGCCCCATTCAACGGTGGTGGTATGGATGAAGTGGTGAGTCGGATTGTCTTTGTGTTATTTTACCTTCTCGTTATGCAAGCGTTCCAGCCTGTCTACTCAATAATTCATCAGAAAAGGCCTATGAAAAGAGAGGCTGCCACCAACATTGTCTGAAAGGACTGTTTCGGTTCAAACGAATCGAAACCTAAGCCAACGAATACATTTTTTAAGCTTAGTCACTGTATAGAGCATCAGCAGCTGCCAAGTAGCCCAACAGTCCTGAATGAGTATTTTGAGAGTGCCTTTCGCCAAGATCCCCACAAAACTACCATGATTATAATCTCTTAATGACCTAAAAATAACGGTGACGTAGCACGAACTTTGAAATAATTAATTTCAGATAGCTCGGGATAGAGCCGCCTTCATTCGACAACTAGAAACAAGCAATCCTGAGACCAAGGTGAGCATTTGATTTGGATACATAAAAATGATATCTAGGGATAGCATCCACTACAAGATGATTCCATACGAACTAGTATGGTTGAGAGGTGANGACGGCAATGCACTTCACCTAAGGGATTCGCGAGCAGTCCGTCTTCCGCAACCTATCCACCAATTCGCAATACTTTTCCCCTTCGAAAGAAATAATTCCCAATGCAAACCATGCTTTTTGACTGCATAAGAGCGAATCTACACAATCACTACGAGCTAATGTAGCTCACACAGTAATCCAGCTGTGGGTCCCACCTGGAACGCCTGACCGCGACGCGACATACTCTAGCCGTCTTCTTGCGTCGCCTTACCAATGCCTCCTTTCTTTGCGTCAAATATGTTTGTGATAGAATCAGTGTCACCGTAAAAACCAAGTTCCTACCCGAATTTTCGATAGTGACGAATTCACTTCACTGCTCCGTCTCATCTTGGTTTGTTCATGGTATGACTTGCTTACCATACAACTAGTTGTCATTTAAGTAATTGTTGCTTTTCAGATGTGTTACGCGCAGTCTCTTGACGTCCGCAAACATGTGAAGAATCTCTCCGTGCGTTACCTTTCCAGAATAATGCCAAAAGAGCATGATTTGGACGACTGGATAGTCCTGCCGCTCTTCCAACATGGTCAGGTAGGAACTGCCTTCCTGTGTGTTCCTTCTGAGTTCCTTTTCAGATTGAAAAGGGGGGGGGGGGGGGGGGGTCGACGTGTAACCAGGCAAGGTGGTAACAGTGGCTTCAATGGCTGTGACTTGTGCAGTGAGCGCAAATGTACCAATTTCAAAATGCTTACTCAAGCAAGGAGCTGGTGATGTGGATGCAGTTGTGAGGGTATAGGGCAGTTTATTGCTTGAGAATGTAGGCGTATAGATCTCCAGTACAATCCAACCTTTATATCATGGGGTGCCTCTAGAGTTCCATCGACCGGCGGCGCTGGCCACATGTTGGCAGTGCAGGACAGATTGCGTTAAGGACCGCGTGAGCTGTAGCGGCATCGAACCAATCTGTCCTGGGTCGTCAACATATGGCCAACAACGCCGTCGGCCGGCCGGTCGGTCAGCACGTCGTTAACTCTGAAAGCATCAATTCCGGATCATATTCGGGACCGAACTTGTTTGAAGGTAAACTTCACATACTGGCTCCTCTATGGAACGATGGTACGGCGGATCCCTTGAAGTACTCCCTAAACAGCCTAAGCTCTGCACACAGCGCAGCTCATTTTGAGCATGGAGCTGTAGAAAGGCGTAATACTCCCTTAACCAGATTACTTCCAGTTACTACTGCCCTTTGTACTCTTTCATTAGTCCTTAACTACGTCAGTGACTGTGTTTAAGGATATACCGATCGACAACGACGGTCGCACTGCAATTCTGATGGCACACGCACCGTCACTGGATCACCTTCTGAAGTCTTGGCGAAAGAGGATCGAGAATGAAAGACGTGATCTGAAGGAGAAAAGGCGACAACAAAAAGCTGAAAGACGTGAGGCTCGCCATCAAAGGAGGTAAATTCGAAAACCCAACGAAGCCACTCTCAGTGAAGTGTTTTCCCTTGATGTATCATCAGACGTAAAAGCCTTTAGGTAACTCTTCTATCGTAGTTTCCTTTCTATTCACTCACCAACACTCACCAAAACTAGTATTACATGCATCAGTGCTTCCGCTTAGAGGTGTTCCCTTGAACCGAGACCCTCTATTGATTTCACAGGTTCGCGCTAGTTTCACTTCTCCCACAGTTTCTCCACACCCCTTCACTCGTGGTGACTATGTCGGTAAATTCCCCCTCCTAACATCCTCGATGACATACACACGACATGGCCCATAGCAGTCTTTCTACATCCTAGTGAGGTTATATATTACATTTCTTTTGCTGTTGTTCAGATCAGGGTGCCAGAAGCGTAGAAATCGTAGCCTGAAAGGACCGAAAGGAAAACGTTGCAAAAGTGGAAATGCTATTGAAACTCAGAATCCGCCTATGCAACAAGATTACATCGAGTTGGCGGTTATTGAACATTAAATTGCTTTTACCTAAGCTTTAAGAAGCTTTTTAGTGTGGACGTCGAGATGGGCGTAGTGAAGGAAGAGGATCCGTACACTGATCAAGATTATGGCTTACCTTATCCAAGATATGACAAATTTGTAGGAGATTTCGGCACTTTGGACGACTCTATGCAACAATATGATCCTAACAATTACGGTAAACACTCCACTATCATTCACTATTCCGGAGTAGAAGATAACCAAATGAAAGTAAGTTCAAAAAATGATTAAGTTCTTCAAAAGGCAATGCTCCAGACCAATTGGTTCACAGATTGAAAGTGTTTTCCTGGGTATGGGTCAGATTCTGAACAAAAGGATGTCATTGAATCGCTCAAAGTCACTATTTATATTAATATTATTTATTTAGCGCGTTCGGAACATTACAGAGAGATAATTCTGCAGGTATAGAATAGTCAGCATCATTCTAACATAGCCGGGGCTAGCGCTACTTTGTTCATAGACAGCGACAAGCGATTCGCCGAGTATGATCGTCAGAACTGCCTTACGACGCTGAAAAATGTGGAGACTCACACTATCCAAAACTCCTGTGCAACAATGCTTCGATGATGTTAGGGATTGAAAGTTCTTGAATTCGTGATAGGACCTGAATTTCTCAAAAGGCCTAATAGAATCCTTAACATAAATTCTGTTCAAGATTGGGGACCACCACTGTTCTATGAATTGGATTCATATTCTGAGGACGGTGAGGGAGTGCTTGATTTTGGAAACTCTGATGATGAAGGACCCATCGTCGCAGGGGAAGATTGGACGCGAACTCCAGCACGAGTGATTAAAACGGTACTGTGCTATGTGCTATGCCAGTCAGTAACATAATGAATCTCTTTCGTAACCTAGGAGCCGTCATCCCCAACGCCTCCTACTATTGAATATGTTATCAAACAGGTACGTTGAAAAAGTTAGATGCAAAAGTACTGAAATACTCGAATACATGATCAAGTTTGGTATGATTTCTTTTGGAACTCGAACAGGGTAGCCATCATCCTAGCCTATGGAAGTCATTGTAAAGTTTGTGAAGGGCGATCTTAGGATGTTCCTTTCCCCTCCTCAAGTTTCAAAAGCTGCCCACAACAAGCTCAGCATACTAATTTGGCACTTCCAGTTTCAAAACGAGTGATCCTAATGCTAGAAACAATGCGGCGAGCGCTAGAGCCTAGCCAAATCTCGTAGAAGACAGATCTAAGGAACTAACCTTTCGGCCATTGCTGCATAGCTTCCAGACATCTGTGTGGCGGCCAGTTGAAATCCCCACAGCGCTAAAGGAAGTAATGTTTGAAAACTTTCGCAGTCGCAGCAGTGACTCTTGATAATATTCATTTCTATTGTTATATAAAGTCTTTCGCGTCAACCAAGTTTTGAAGAGAGTAATAATCTTATGCATTTTCAATCTTAGGAACCAGCATCTCCAATGTCATCAACTCCTAGAGCTGTACTTACATCGGTACCTTTATAATTACTAAAGTAAACACTACATATTGATTTTCTTCTGTGATTTAGAAGCAGCCTTCCCCAGTGTCATCTACTCCTGGACCTCTATTGAAACAGGTATGTTCGTGGCGTCAGAATATGAATGACTTCACTGTTTCTCGTTTCATGTGATTCAGTTTGGACGTCAAATCGCTCGCATAACTCAAAAAGCGATAATATAACGAATGTCTTGCTACTCTATAGATTCAGATTCGATAACCGTATTATCAGTATGTGCGAAAAATGTTCCCAACCCTCTGATGAAACTCAGCCAACGATTTTTGCACTCCCTCAGTCGAAAACCGAAAAGAATCAATCGAAAATTCGATGGAGAAATGATAATTTGCATGCTGACGGCATGGCATTCATACTTGGCGAACATTATGTTTTAACTTTTCTTTCGAAACCTAGGAGCCAATTTCTTCATTTTCATCTACTCCTGCACGTGCAGTCAAGAAGGTACATCATATTTATGTCACCAATTACTACATATTGCATTCATTTCTTCAATTCAGAAATCGCCCTCCTCAACGTCGTCTGCTTTTGGGCGTGTGATTAAAGAGGTACTATGTACTTTACTACAATATGTACTCCATATTCACCTTCCTTCTGAATCTCAGGAGCCTCTTTCTCCAATGTCATCGCCTCTTAAACGAGTACCCATACAGGTACCTTAATATTACGTCGGCAAGCATTACATACTGATCAGTTTTTCTTTTAAACTTCAGAAGACGCCTCAGTCAACGCCAACCGCTCCCCTACATCTATTCAAACAGGTGCCTTTATAATTGCATGGGGCACTATTACGGGACTATTCTTTTTCTGCTTCTAGGAAACGCCTTCTCCAGTGAAGTCCGATCCTGAACCTTTATTCAAACAGGTAATTGTGCATTTACCTCTGCAGATACTGTAGAATGATTCTTCTTTCAAGTCTAAACAGCTTCCAATGCCATCTCTTTGTGGATCTGTGTTCTAACAGGCCTTAATAACAATTTAGAAAGTAAATTATTTCTCCACTACAACTACCTCACGTATCAGTTTTTTCCTGAATTTCAGGAATCACCTTCTCCTGTGCCGTCCAATCCTGAGCCGGTGTTCATACAGGTAAGGTTGCACTGGCACAAACTAGCTTTCCATATTACCTTCCTTGTAAATTTCAGAAGCCGCCATCATCTTCTGCTGGGCGTGTAATCAAACAGGTGTCTGCCTTTATATTTTCTTCAACAAGAGAGAAAAACATTGATCTTCTTCTTTTACTGTAGGAGCCGTCTTCTCCAGTACAGACTGCACCAGAACACTTGTTCAAGCAGGTACCTCAGTAATACTTTTGATATTCATCACTTTAAAAATCGTTTTTGGACTTGTGTCCATTTTGTCAAAGGGCCTCGAATGCTACAATATTCAAGAAAGTAACTCAATTAGCTCACACTCGCTTTTAGCGGTCCATGTTGTCGTATGGGATTTGACTCGTATTTTAATCATATGTATATCCCAAATTGATCATATCTTTTGGCTCATTGTTCCTGAGCGCTCCCACTCATTCTCAGACAGACGGCTGACCACTTCTGATTGCGTATCGCCACTGAACCAATACTGTTCTGAAAAGAGTTTGATGCTCGTTTCTTTTATACACAAGAGCTCTCCTTTTCTCGACAACTTCATCCTGTCGTCCTTCACATCTCATAGAATAGAATCGGTCACAGAATCGGTCATCGGTGATAGCCATCAGAAGTTGTAAGTAAAAACGGCTCCGTGAATGTCAGTTAATTTGAGGAGATGGTACTTGTTCGCGTGGGTCTCTCGTGAAGTAATGGGGAAAGATCGTCAGTTGCAGGATATGATTGTTCGATACTTGATTATTTTCCAACCCTAACTGGGGATGCATTTTTCGGCTCCATTGATCTTTTTATGTTTCAACTAATTTCTTTATGACCTTTTGGCTTGTGAACAAAAACAAACGTTTTGGCTGGTTTTTCCTGTTGTTGAACAGAGTGCATAAATTTCCTAATTGAAATTTAGGAGCCACCTTCTACAGTGACGCCAAGGCCTGAATTTGTAATCAAACAGGTGTTTTAAATATCTTTACATTAGAAAACACCTTGTATATAGTTCTCTATGCAGGAGCCGCCTTCTTCATCATCGCCTCCTAGACCCGTATTTATACAGGTACTTCAATAATATCTACCTTAAACCCTTACACAACGATTTTCTTTTGAAATTCAGGAGCGTTCCAACCCAGTGTCATCTACTCGTGCAACTGTAGCCAAACAGGTATATCAATTAATTAGCACTGCGCAACAGCGTGATTCTTTCTTTCTACAGGAGCCGTCTTCCCTGGTACCAGCTACTCGTCAGCCATCCTACTCTACTTGCCGTTACGACAATGGTAAAATAAAACTCAAAAACTTTTCTTTCCCTGGCAAAATTAATTGCTGCTCTTATTCCCTCAGCATAAGTTTCAAAAATTCGCTTTACCGTTGATTTTATATGAAGAGAACAAATTTAAAAGAGGGTCGCAACCACTCGATGTCAACATTTGTGGAAAAGGATGACTTGGATGCTATGTTGGAGATGGAGCAGCAGCTTGCTTCAATTCATGGAGTAACGTCGGATCAAAATAACATTGTGAGTTTGCGTGCCCCTCCCCTTAGGATAAATCCCGTTTCTGCTAATTTATTTCACCACTTTTTAGAATCATAGGAATTTCGATACAATTTCAGAGTCACGACGACGTAAACAATGAAATTCACCAAGAATCGGATCATGCTGCAATTAATCTTGAAAGGGAATTGAATGGTTAGATTTCAAAAGTCATGATGATGGTTCAAGGGTGCACCCTGCGCTTGCTGACATCAGCCGGCATATCTCATTGAAATGTCGGGAGTGAGCAGTTCTTTGGATGTACAAAGGGGCGACAAAAGCCGAAGTCATAGGATGAACCGAAGGCTAATTCGTGCAATCGTGAGAACCCTGAATTCATACGAAACAAATCACAACCGACCGCTACGCTAGGGCAGGGGGCAGCAGAGTGAAGGTGGACTAACACTAAGTAGTAGGTACATGCGCAACGTTAACAGCTGATGTTTTGCTTTCACTAACAGGTCAGATACGACGATACTCTGGTTTTGACTTTACCAAACAGTATTGACTGCTAAACTGTTATCGACATCAATCGATGTCAACGTGGAATCCTACAGGACATTTTTGGGCTAATATACAGAAGGCATACATAACAACATACACACAAAGTTACCTATTTTTTCATTTATGCAGAACACGAACACATAAAAAAAATAAACTTGGAAGTAGGAGTACTCACTAGTGGTTATAGGTTACGTATTTCTGGGAGCTGTTTCAGATTATAAACCAATCATTTACCAAATCACCAATGCTTATAGCCCAACAGCTGGAAATGACTTCAATCCTCTATATTCTATCTATTGAAGCATGTAGTTATTAAACTTATTAAATTGATATTTACAAGCGCAAAACCCAAGCTACTAATGCCAGTCAAAAAGTGAAAATTTTATTCTATAATTGAATAGCCTTGAAGTCTTTAGTCTACATGTCCAAGAGATAGTTTGCAGTTTGAGAGCAGCTGCGAGAGTTCAATTCCCATCTCTTTCGAACTTTTCAGTATTTATTTCGAGTTTTAGGAGAACCAGTGGAATGTAAGAAATTCTCAGAAACACTAATACGAGTGGAACCCACATGTGTGGTAAACTAACTATTTGTTCGAACTAAACCTTTCAGGGGCCACTTCTATAGGTTTCATGTCGCTAGGAAAAATTTCTGCGTGATCTTCTGGCATGATTTCATTCGACAGTGAAAGAAGTTATGCTGAGACACTCTTTTTAAATAAAAAACCCAAGGCGTTGAAGACATTGTTTACCACCCGTTTCTTCAACATGTGGTACTTACTATGGTTACCAAAAGATCAGTATTTACTACGGAACGTATTCGTTTTTTTTTTCGTTTTTTTAGGTAACAGATCCCTTCATTTGTGACAGATGTCTCAGAAAGGTGACAGTCTTGAAGCGATGGTGCAAAAGGATGCGCGCGCATAGCTTACGATATCGTACTGTTTGATGGCCGCCGTGGCCCACCTTCATCTACATCGAAGTCGGGCTACAAGCCGCAGCCGAGTCACTACTCTAGGAACTAGTCCCCAAGACATTACAGCATACACTAAACGGAAGGGTTGCAACGGAGCGTCGATTATCAGATACTGTTGAAATGTGACGGCCACATCTGACGCATCCGTTCTCTCTTTGCTGTTTCGCGAAACGCTGGCATACGATAGTTCGCTAAAGGAAATGTTCATGCCCCAGAAAATGTTGCATTGAACACTAAGGTGAAGTGCGACCTGCGGGTTAAAAAAGTCCAGTCCAATGAGGGATTTCATCTACCCAAGATTTTACGAAGAGACGGGTCATGGTTTACGATAGCTTTAACGCTCTTGGATAACAGCAAATATTTTTAACGTTTCTAATTTTAGCAAGTTTTCTCTTCTGTGAGCAGCTACTCTTGCTCCTTTTTTGACCGCATCAGAGCATGCCTTCGCAAGGCATGTGGATTGGTCTTTTCAGGAAGTCGACGCCATTTCGCTTCTTTCTACTGAAGATCGCCCCAGCACATCAAAAGCCGAATTGAAAAAACACTCTGCTTCGAACAAAATAAAAAATTCGCTCTTGCAGCGCATGGCCGAAGGTCGTGAAGTGAATATGGGCAAATGTTGCTTTCATCTGCCCCTTTGTAAAGTTTTCTCACCCACTTGTTAGAAAAAATAAACTTTCAGATTGATAGCTCCTCTGCAGTTGCTCTTGAGAATGATTACAAGAATACTTTTTGCTATCTCTGTCGCATCGATTTCACTTCTTCTAAAGGATTATACCTGCACAATGTAAAGGTGCGGATGGTTTTGTTTGAATCTAGACAATATTTTGATTGTTTTATTTCGCTTTTTTGCTCAGTTGGCAAAAATGGTACCGCTACTACGACCCCGCTCTCTCTCGTCCTTCCTTCCCTTCTTACTACTCTTACTTTACTCATAATTTTTACTTTCATACTCATACTACATACTGAAATTTTCACTCATAGTTACTTCATCATCAAATACTATTTCAGATTCATTCTGAAGGGGAGGTGCAATGCGATGTGTGCTACAAACCGCTCAAAAATCGTATCACCTTGATGAAACATAAAAAGCTGCATTTGGGAGCTGAAGATATGCATTGCCTATGCACAGAATGTGGTCGCCCTTTCAAGGTCGTAACATTTGACACGCTCACTGTTTTTACACCTCATAACGTTATTGTTTGTTTAGGACAAAAGGGCTCTTACTGCACATGTCACATATACCAAGCACATGGTTGGTCCACGTGTAGCCAGAACATCTTAGTGTTTATTGATCTGGTTATGTAGTCGTTTTTCCTATGGTCTATTTATTGATCTGGTTATGTAGTCGTTTTTCCTATGGTCTATTATCGTTATTTTCTCAGATGGAAAAACTTTAGTGAAGTCTAAGTTTTAATAAATATTGATTCGTTGCCTCAGATTGCATTTAAAGCGCTGTTAAAACGTTCATCTCTGTGCTTCCCATGCCGCTGCCGAATCTAAACACAACGCGGATCGGGCGTTTCTAGCTAGTCACGAGCGGAAAATTACGAGTGTCCCATCTCTCGTGACCCTTGCGCCGCTCATGATGCATGGAAATTTCGCTTTCTGGGGCCACAAGGTATGCTCTCGTTTTCCGGGCCGGGACGCCCCGATTCGGCTCTCTCTGCTCTACCCGAAAGCATCTATCTCTCTGCTCTCCCCGAGAGCACACCTTACCGGGAAGGGGACCCTCCCCTGTTCGGAGGAGCATACCTTACATCCCCTGACGTAACCTTACACCCCTCGCAGCCCAGAGTGTCTTCTATGTCATATTCAAAAGATTTATGACGGGAAACTACACAGCAATAACCATAGACAATACATTTTGAACAGAAGCACCTATATAAACTAACTTACCTGGGTGCAATCTTGGTTTTTGTTCATTGGCTCTTCGTGAGACCGATTGATGCCAATGGATTGCTTTGGTGAGGCTTTGGTGTCAAAGTTGAAGTGGAAGTATTCCTGGTCTGGTCAATAGTGTATTGCCTGGAACTGTGAGGTACGATGTGTGCCAAACCTCGAGGTTTCTGCTGTCTAAAACAAAATCGGACTTACTTTCCTTCTTCATCCATACCATGTGATCGTTATCATTGATTTTGGAACAGCCTGCTGATAGCAATTAAACATCAGCACGCTTTTTGCGAGCAAAATCACGCCTTCTTGGTTACCGTTGATGAAATAAGCGGGCGGAAGTGAAACGGTAAATGACCATATCTGTTATTGCGACCTCTGCAACTTTTACGCGTTCAAACATTCGGGTAAACAAGGGGCTGTGGAGGTGGTTTTATAAATTGTTGGTAGCCCACATACCTTGCTTCCACAGCTGTGTGGTCCCTATGCTCCTTTGCTCCCCCTTTACTTCGGAAAACACCATCCGTTCAAGCGCCTATCGAAGCGTCGAAGCCTGGGCGCGACGCGACCGCTCGCTTCACGGATCACTCGATGCGGGTGGTCTCATCGAATTTTACTCTCGGTTGTGCGTCGTCACTGTGCGAAACGCTCCTATGGGTCGTTTCTTTTTTCTTGGACGGACTTGATCATTCACCATAGTCTCCCGTACTTCTTACAAACAATTTCTCGGTTGTTTCAGCGATTTCGGTAGTATGTAATTGGGAACGGAAGACTCTACAGTAACTATGCTCTTTTTTAGGTGGCAATCTTATCACACTCTAAAGTTAGCTGTTTTTGTTTGTTCGTTGTCTGTTTTACCTCCCGTGAATAACTCCGACCTGTTTTCGTTTGATTGTATACAGGTGCGAGTATTTGTTACGTAATCGTGCATTTTTACAGAACTATCCCAAAAAGTCGGTTATTTGAAGTGCTAACTTACACAGCGAGTGGTGTTGTGTCTTTCTACAGAGAATGGCGTCGGTAAGTCGTTCAGATTTGTTCGGAGTAGTTTCTCTTCAGCCAAACTCTGGTGTATTTAACATCGTCCTCCATGAAGGTCACCTCCCACTCGTAGCAACCTAAGGGTCCATCCATCAAAATTGGCCATTCATTTGTGTATCGAGCACCTATGTCTCGTCCATTCAAATCGTCCTAGCGATGCAGCGAAAAGTTTATCAGAGGAAAAACTTAGGTTGTGCTTCGTAAACTCCTAAATCTTCCCAAACTGAAGAAAGAATGTGCAAATCACGATTTTTTCGTACCTACGAAACTTCGAAACTCCGCTTTTCTGCGACTTCATGCAAATAGGCAGTCACTAAGGGTCTTAGGAAATACTAAGATTCTTCCTTGGGACTTTTCTGGGTTCTTCACACCTGCGCAGAACTCAGCAGCCTTCCCTATGTACTTTCAGGTCTTGTTGTTTCATTGTGACTGTTTAAATTTATAGGATGAAGACCTGCTGGTGTTCGGATACACGTCACGAATCTACCCTGCTGACGAGCGTTCGGACTTTATTGCCGAGGAGCGACATCTGATCACTTCGCCAAACGATCCGTCATTACGCATCGATAGGTGTGTACTGATAGGAGGCGCATGCGCTACTCCTACGACAAACCTTGGAGCTCCGTTTCAGGCTTTTAGGTTGGAAAATGGCGTATGCTGGCACCACATAGTTTAGCAGGTATGTATCAAACTATTCAACTTCCCTCTTCGTGATTTGCACTCATATACTAAATTCTAACCGTATTTGTAAGTGATCAACGCCAAAGATGTCGTAAACGAAACGATGCGAAATGTTTTGTCCATGAAAATAGTTAGGATATGCGGATTAAGCAGCCCGTCAAGTGCCTCACATTTTCATGGGTTAAATTACAATTGACTCCAGCGTATGCGCCTGTGGTTTGCTCTATTTTCAGATATTTCTTTTTGGCTTTTTTCCGTCTTTTCCTTCACAACGTCGCCGATTAGTGTAATGAATCAATCCAGCTCCCTTTAGTTTGTTTTGCTCTTCAGCTGTAGTATTCGCATGCTTATCCATTTGTTTTAGGTCTGGACGACCGCGCAACGCTCAGGCAGCAATGGTAAGGAGGCGTTGACGCCCCGCGTAAGTTCGACTCAAGCAGTCAAGCGGAAGATTTCAAATTTTTCTGTGAAATATATTAATATTCAATGCAAATGTGTTGATTGATTTCCTTCTCAGCCTAATTTTTGTAACGCTTCAGGTACGATTGTCGCTTGTTGCTTCCCGCTGGTTACGATGACGGGTCGTCTGCTGCTGATGAGGAATCTTGTCCCACTGAAGACCTGGAGGAGGAAATGTGCGATGAGGAACGTTATCGCGATTTAACTGCAGAAGCTCAACAAAGTCGTAAGTAGAAATTTTGCTTGGATTCTTCCTCCTGTAACTATCAACGTGAGAATAGGCCGTTTCATAGATGATGTCGATAAAGGGTCTCTGAAAATGAGTGGGAAGATTTATGAGCCAGCGATAAATTTACAGCATTGGAAACCATGCCATAATGACATTAAAACATGCTTGCGCAAAAACTTATCGACTGGTTCCTCTATGGAAGTAGGCTTGTCTGTGAGTAACGGGTTATCCAGTTCTCGAGGCTTACGAGTTGAAGTGCTGTACTTGACGCGATAGCATATTCGTATTAGGACCAAGCTAGTTTTCCCTTTCCCTTTTCCCTTTTTCCAAAGGAACGGGAAAACCTCATCGTACAATACAAGTTTTGGTGGATGATCTGCCCTTCATTATGTCATCAGCCTTTTTGGCTCTGCCAATGAGTATAGTGGTAGTAAAAAGAGTATTCGTAGCTTGAAAACTTTATGTTTCAGAGGAAGAGGATACTCGTCCTAAGAAGGCTGAAATTGGTTTTGACTATGGCACCGGTGAAAGAAACACGAACGGTGAATCGGGAGATGCAGCGGGAAGCGATGACAGTGACAGTGAAACGGAACCTTTCGTGCCTCCTCCAGGCATCAAACTGCCAGTAGGGCTCGTTGTTGTAAGTGGCTTTATACTTCACCAACAAGCTCTAACTTTTTCTTTGAAGGCTCAAAGTGTTATTTGCAGCCTGACAACCAGAAACAAAATCATATTATTGAAAGAACTGCTTTATTCGTAGTGACGAAAGGGCCGCAGATGGAGATTGTTATTAAGGCTAAGCAACGTAATAATACAGAGCAGGTTAGTTTTGACCATAACGAACACAATCTTCTAGGTGGTGTATGTGGGAGAGGTCTCGTGCGTACGGCTATCGACTATAATTTCCTCGCTTCAATCTGATTTTCTTTTCAGTTTGGATTTCTGGAATTCGATAATTCGCTGCATCCTTACTACAAGTATTTGTCGAAGTTGATACGTGAAAAGAAGTACACCCCTTCCCTGACCAAACATACGAAGCGTGGAGCACTAGGGGATCGAGCTGGAAGTGCCTCACCTGGTGGAACTGTCAATAGCAACAAGGAAAAGAAACCGAACGCCCTCACGGCATTGGCTTCTCGTGAGTTAAATCTGGAACTTTTTTCACAAGTCAATTCGCGGAGAACCATAATCGTCACTATATTGAGAGGTTGTCTTACTATAAGTCTAGGTGAATACGTATTCTCTAAAAAATTCAAAGCTAAGTTGAGTCTGTACTTATTCTTACCTGTAATTCACATATTACATTGCAGAGCACGAAAGCGATAGCGATTCTGATTCGGATTATGAGCTCCATCCATCTCTGTTAGCTGGAGCACGTAAAGGTGCTCGAAGCCCTGACGTTATAGACGGCACAGAAAATGCAGCTGGTCCGAGACGCCGGCCTTCTTCTCCATCCCCTCCACGTGTCACCGCGCATCGTCATGATTACGATATGAGCAAGGTTCGACTTAATCTTCAGTCTATCCTTATATGATTTACTTGAGTATTTTCAAAATTTTCATTTTCAGAGTAACGACATCTATGCGTCGTTGTTCAAGAGTCTGAGTCAGGTATCTGTTGAGCGTGAAGAGGCTGAGAAGAGGAAGTTGGAGAAGATAGAAATTGAGAAACATCTTGCGGCGTATGTACTTTCCTTTTTAATAGAACACTCTCAGAAGCCTTTCGGGTCAACTGATGAGGAGTAATGGTAAATGTTTCAGTTCTGCCCCTCCACCACCAGATGAAGAGTATCAAGCGTGGTGGTTGTCCTTCTATGGAACACCTTGTCCCTTCTCAAGCCCCCAACCGATGGTTCCTCCTCCTCCAGATCTTCAGCCGGTCATTTCTAGCTATGCGGAGTTTGTTGCTCGCCATGGTGCTGAAGCTGAACTAGAGCTGAGAGGTAAGACACTCGAGCTGCTCGCTGCGGAATCCTTCGAGGTGATACATGTTGCTTCAGAACGTGTTGATCTGCAGTTGACGTTCATGCATCCACATAGCCCCCATTTCTCTTATTACCAACACCAAGTTCGTTTGGTTCAGTGGGAGCGCGCAAAAAGAGCTGCAGAAAAAGCGGAAGAACCAGCTCCGATGGTACGTCTTCTTTCCGCGTTAACATGATGCGGTAGAACGATTTAATTCATTTGCAGGCTGATGTGGTTGAAGCAGAAGGTGGAGCTACTTCAGCTGTGGATGAATCAGGTCTTAATGTTGTTGTGGACGATGCTTGTGAACCCTCGACTTCTTCACCATTACCGCAAGGTACATTCGATAAAAACTTATTTAGTTCGTTTGCATCCGTTGACTCCTTTTGCGATCTGTGCTCTTACAAAAAATTGTTTTTTCTATCAACAAGGCGTTTGTTGTTTTTGTAAAATATGTAGAATATGAAGGTCCAGCGGCGATTTTCACGTAGCGACCAGCATTTGGCATTGCGCTTCTTTTTGACGGATCTAATTCATTTCTATTCCAGATCCCACTGCTCCTTTGTTGAATAGGAAGCAAAGGCGAAGACTTCAAGATAGTTTTCGTGTTGCAACCACTCAACCGGTTGGAATTGTTGATCCGGTAGCAGCGATAGGATTGTCCGATCCATTCCATGTAAGTTCGAAGCTTCTCCTCGTTAATCTCTGCACCATTGTGAGAAATCAATCTGACCACTGTTCAGGTTCCCAAAGTGAGCTCTTCACCAGCCCTCCTTCCATCTGCTTCAGTTGTACAGCCAGTGGTGGAAGAGGGAGTTATGAGTAGCGCTGGTGCAGCGAGCAGCGTTGTAGTACAACCCACAAGGCCTTTTCCTTCCGTCCCAGTATCTTTTACACTAGCGCCAATAAGGGAAGAAGTTCCATGCTCGTTAACAGGGTGAGTGTTTTTAGCTGTCTAAACAGTTTTTTTTTTTAAATTCTGTTAATGTGCTCCAGCTGCCTTTCTTTTCTACTACTCTCTGAAATGCCATTTTCTCATTTTTCATTTTCCAGGACAGCGATAGCAGAGGATTCTTCCAGCGCTGTGCTTGTTGACGCCCGTACTTTGTCACCTCTTACAGTAGCACAGCCTGTTGTAGCAAGTCCTCACGTATGTTTCTATTAATGGCATTCCATTTGCGGCAGTTGGATGATGTTCTTTTTGGTTTAAGATTCTACCTCCTCCAGTTCCACCGAACATTCTTAGCAACACACAATTGGATAGGAAAGAGAAAGTAGGTTGCATGGATGCTCAATTTTTTCTAAATTCTTTTTCTTTTTTTCATCCGACCTTTTTAGGCTCGCATTTTTATGGAACGACTACTGAATGAGAAGCGAGTCAAGAAACTCCGGGAACAAGAAGAAGCTAGGATTCGAGAACTCGAGGCTCAAAAAGCGGAACTTGAGAGGGTAAGTCGGCTAAGTTCCACAATAGTTCTGTCCCTTATTTTTTGTATTCTTCAGCAACTGGCGGAGGAGGATGCGAAAAAGAAGAAGAGTTCACTCGAAATGGTGGACAAACTAATCAACAGGTAAGCTTTTTTGCGGATCTTTTAGTCGAAATTCACATTCTGACTTTCAGTCGCATCGGTGCACTTCTCGGAAGGGCCGAATCAAAAAAGTCTGAAAGAAAATCAAATCTTCCCGCTCGTCTCAGTGACGATGAGGCCGAAAAGGATCGTGATGATATGCGGGGTAAACGGAAGAAAGAAAAGAAAGATAAAAAGGAAAAGTCCAAAAAGCACAAGCATAGGAAATCACGGAGGTAAGAAACTTTTCTCCCCATTCCTAAGTTTTGAAAAAAAATGCTTTGGGACTTTAAGCGTGTGTTCGTAAGCAGATTACTCTCTGCAAAAGTCATTGCTGCTGGTTGTGTATGGCAACCGGACATTGTTATGGAGAATCACCCGGTTGTTTATTACTTACATTTTCAGTAGATCCCGTAGCCGTAGCAGGGAAAAGGAGAAGAAAAGACGAAGACACTCAAGTGATTCCCGCAGTAGAGATAGGTACGTTTGACATCTGTCCGGTTTTTCTGCATTCATCCAATCTCATTTTTACAGGGAGTCAAAGAAACGGAAAAAGGATCGTCGATGACGATAGTATATTGTTGGTGTTTGTTGTTGTTTTAATACAGGTTGAATGACTTTATGTGTAATTTATGTTGGTTTTATAGTTCGTGTAAAATAAGGTTCGAATAAATTTTATCTAACTTTCTTCGAAATCAAGAGAAAGATGTCATCATGAGTGATGAATTTGTACCCATCTACGGAGGTAATGGCCATTCCATTTTCCTGAAAGCACTCTCATTTGCTTTTCAAACCTCGGTCTCGAAGTGATCGACTGAAGTCAGGCTTACTTTAAGTGAATCCTCGATATGGCTACGTTGTAGGCGATGGCATTTGAAAACCTTCCCGCCGAAATTGTATGTAGTAGCGTCGGTTACACCACCTTGAAGCTGTGATTGGGAAGATCATTAGTGTAGG